GCTGGAGTGCAGTGGTATGATCTCAACTCACTGCAACCTCCACCTCCTGGGTTCAAGCAATTCTCCCTGCCTCAGCCTCCCGTGTAGCTGGGATTAAAGGCACCTGCCACCACTCACAACTAATTTTTTTTGCATTTTTAGTAGAGACGGGGTTTCACCATGTTGGTCAGGCTGGTCTCCAACTCTTAACCTCAACTGATCTGCCTGCCTCTGCCTTCCAAAGTGCTGGGATTATAGGTGTGAACCAACGTGTCCAGCCTTATAAAGCTTTTTATTTTATTTTATTTATTTATTTTTTATTGCCTTTTTGTGCTTACAGGGATGTACATAAAGCTTTTTAAAGAGAAAAAAGTAGAATAGCACAATAAGCTCGTGATAACCATCACCCATATTCAATAATTACCCATCACCCATATTCAATAATTCAATAATTACAAAATTTTGCTGTAATTGTTTCAAACATCTTCCCTTTTTTTCTTTGCCGAGATTTTTTTTTTTTTTTTTTTTTTTGAGACAGGGCCTTGGTCTTTTGCCCAGGCTGGAGTGCCGTGGTACAATCTCAGCTCACTGCAATCTCTTCCTCCTAGGTTCAGGCAGTTCTCCTGCCTCAGCTTCCCAAGTAGCTGGAATTACAGGCGCCTGACATCACACCCAACAAATTTTTGTACTTTTAGTAGAGATGGGGGTTTTGCTATGTTGCCCAGGCTGGTCTCGAACTCCTGACATCAGGCAATCCACCCGCCTCGGCCTCCTAAAGTGAGGGAATTACAGATATGAGTCACTCCACCTGGACTCTTTGCTGAGGTTTTTTTTTTCTTTTTTTTTTTTTTTTGAGACGGAGTTTCGCTCTTGTTACCCAGGCTGGAGTGCAATGGCGCGATCTCGGCTCACCGCAACCTCCGCCTCCTGGGTTCAGGCAATTCTCCTGCCCCAGCCTCCTGAGTCGCTAGGATTACAGGCACGCGCCACCATGCCCAGCTAATTTTTTGTATTTTTAGTAGAGACGGGGTTTCACCCTGTTGACCAGGATGGTCTCGATCTCTTGACCTCGTGATCCACCCGCCTCGGCCTCCCACAGTGCTGGGATTACAGGCTTGAGCCACCACGCCCGGCCTGGTTTTTTTTTTTTTTTTAAAGACAGAGTCTTGCTCTGTCGCCAGGCTGGAGTACAGTGGGGCAATCTCTGCTCACTGCAACCTCTGCCTCTCAGGTTCAAGCAATTCTCCTGCCTCAGCCTCCCCAGTAGCTGGGACTACAGGTGTGCGCCACCCCACCCAGCTAATTTTTTGTATTTTTAGTAGAGACAGGATTTCACCATGTTGACCAGGATGGTCTTGATCTCTTGACCTCGTGATCTGTCCACCTCGGCCTCCCAAAGTGCTGGGATTACAAGTGTGAGCCACTGCGCCCAGGCTTTGCTGAGATATTTTAAAGCAAATTCCAGACTTCATTTAATTTTACCTCATATACTTCAGCATGTGATGAGGTCTTAAAAATTATTTTTGTTACACAATTATATTGGCACATTAAAAAATCTAAATTCAGCCGGACGCAGTGGCTCACACCTGTAATCTTAGCACTTTGGGAGGTAGAGGAGTTTGAGTCCAGCCTGGCTAATATGGTGAAACCCCGTCTCTACTAAAAATACAAAAATTAGCTGGGCATGGTGGCCAGTGCCTGTAGTTCCAGCTACCCAGGAGGCTGAGGCAGGAGAATTGTTGGAACCTGGGAGGCACAGGCTGCAGTGAGCCAAGACCGAGCCACTGCACTCCAGCCTGGCAACAGAGCGCGACTCCATCTCAGAAAAAAAAAACAAACCTAAATTCTTAACTTTAGTAGATCACAGGTTTAGAATAGGTTAACACTCTCAGCTTCAACCCTGTTAAGTGTAGTTTAAACACATACACACACTAAATTCCAATTCTGTTCGAAACAAGGGGTCTAGAGTATCCCACAAATGCGTGTTTTGGAGCTGAAGAATATCTGCCTCAAAGGGGGAAATGGCTTTAAAGTAAAGATTGTTGCTGAATTAAACTTGGCTCATTTTTTCTTCCTCCCTCTGCCCTTCCTCTCTTCCTTCCTTCCCATCTATTGGTATTTATTAGGCTCCTATAAAACACAAAATAAGGATTCAAAGCAATGCCCAGGACCCCAGCAAGAGGGCAAAAGACCATATGAAAATTAAATGAGGTCAATACTTCCTTCTTGGGCCTATAAAGTCCCTGGGGAGACAGCAACCTAGAAAGTAGAGCTCAGCCAAGCGCGGTGGCTCACGTCTGTAATCCCAGCACTTTGGGAGGCTGAGACTGGCGGATCACGAGGTCAAGAGATCAAGACCATCCTGGTCAACATGGTGAAACCCCGTCTCTACTAAAAATACAAAACATTAGCTGGGCATGGTGGCGCGTGCCTGTAATCTCAGCTACTCAGGAGGTTGAGGCAGGAGAATTGCCTGAACCCAGGAGGCGGAGGTTGCGGTGAGCCGAGATCGTGCCATTGCACTTGAGCAAGGGTAAGAAATGCCAGTCTCAAAAAAAAAAAAAAAAAAAAAGAAAGAAAGAAAGTAGAGCTCTTTTCCATTGGTCTCATGCTTCCATAAAGTAATTAAATATGTACTTAGTTTTCTTAGCTCTTCTAAAAGCACGTAGAATACAGATCCCAGGCTGAGTGCGGTGGCTCAGGCCTGTAATCCCAGCATTTGGGAGGCTGAGGCAGGTAGATCACTTGAGGCCAGGAGTTTGAGACTAGCCTGGGTAATTCGGTGAAACTCCATTTCTACTAAAATTACAAAAATTAGGTATGGTTGCGCACGTCCGCAATTCCAGCTACTCAGAAGGCTGAAGCACAAGAATCTCTTGAAATGGGGAGGCCGAGGTTGTAGTGGGCCCAGATCACACCTCTGCACTCCAGCCTGTGTGAGTGAGTGAGACCCTGTCTCAAAAAGGAGGAGGAGGAGGAGGGGGAGGAGGGGGAAAAAGGAGGAGAATGAGGAGGAGGAGAAGAAAAAGAGGAGGAGGAGGAGGAGGAGGAAGAAAACAGGCATCATCTAATAAATTGAAAATAGGGCATACCTTATTTCCCAGCAGTAATTCTGTTCTCAGTTTATGCCCTAGAGATTTTCTTGCACACGCACAGCAGGACGGACGCACAACCTGCAAATAACCTAAACTAGAAATTCCTCATGAACTTAGATGAATCTCAGACACATGATGGTAAAAAAACAAGTACCAAAATTCACACGGTATCATTTTATTTGTGAGAAGTTTGTAAACAGGCAAAAATAAGCAAGGTTGTTTACGGGCACACAATTTAGGTGGTGTTAATGTACAGAAAAGCAAGGAAATTATTCTCACAGAAGTCCAAATAGTATTTATCACTGGGGGATTGTGACTGGGGCTTAGGGGCATTTCCTGGGAAGGGTGGCTCTGTTCTATGCTCCATTCAAGTGATGGTTGCCCAGCTATTCACTTTATTTATTTTAATTTTTATTTTTTGAGACAAAGTCTCTCTCTTGTTGCTTGGGCTGGAGTGCCATGGCATGATCTCGGCTTACTGGAATCTCCATCTCCTGGGTTCGAGTGATCCTCCTGCCTCAGCCTCCCAAGTAGCTGGGATTACAGGCATGCGACATGACGCCTGGCTAATTTTGTATTTTTAGTAGACAGGATTTCTCCATGTTGGTCAGGTTGGCTCCCGACCTCAGGTGATCCGCCCATCTCGGCCTCCCAAAGTGCTGGGATTACAGGGGTAAACCACCGCCGCCGGCCAGCTATTCACTTTATGATGAGTCTTTAAACTGTATTTTTGCGGGGGGGGGGGCGCCGGAGTCAGAACCTTGCTCTGTTGCCCAGGCTGAAGTGCAGTGGACGCAATCTGGACTTGCTGCAACCTCTGCCTCCCTGGTTCAAGCGATTCTCCTGTCTCAGCCTCCTGAGTAGCTGGGATTACAGGCGCGCACCACCACGCCCGGCTAATTTTTATATTTTTAGTAGAGATGTGGTTTCACCATGTTGGCCAGGATGGTCTTGAACTCCTGACCTCAAGTGATCCGCCTGCCTTGACCTCCAAAAATGCTAGGATTACAAGCATGAGCTAGCGCGCCTGGCCTGTTTTATACATTTTTATATAAGTATGATTATCTCACAATAAAATTTAAAAGCAAAAAAACAACTTTATACTGGCTAAAGTGATGGAGAAAAACATTGTCCCATTTTCACAAAATATCTGGACCTGTAGCCCAGTTCTAGTCTCAACAGCGGCAGATACAACTAGGTAATAGCTCACTTTCCCAAACGGGTATAACTTAAACCTAGTATCATCTATCTGACCATGAAGGTTTCATTTTTTTTCCCTTCCGGAAATGAGAAAACGCTAGCTTCACGGCAATCTCTCTTCCCCTTGATTAACGAGACTGGTTGCTCACTGCTTTTTATAAACAGGTGTATTTATTGGTTTAAGCGTCATTATTTGGGTCTAACTAGTTTTAGTACGTTTCTGCCTGTTAATTGCTTCAGATTTTCTAAATTCTTTTGATCCCCCGTGCGTCCGTGAAGGTGAATGGGCAGTGGTCAGGTGTGTGCCATCAGGCTCCGCCAGCCAAGTGGAGGCAACGTTCTCGTGCGGCCGCAGCCGCTTGAAATCCGGCCCTTGCACTCCGGCGAAGTCCCCGGGGCGCGGGACCGAGGGCCCAGCACTCTGGCTCCTCACACTCACGATCTGAGGTTCTTTTCCTTCTCCTCAAGGTCCCAGCAGATGCGAGAGGCTTAGAGAGGGCGGGAGAGCAATCCCGCCCACTGCAGGCTCCGTGGTCCCCGCCCCACCCGGGGCGCCGCTCCTCCTGGGGCCGCCCGGGCGTCCTCCCACCGCCGGGGGCGCTGTGGGCCGCAGCGTGCCTGGCTGCAGATGCGGTGGCGGCCGCCGAGCGCCTGGAGGGAGCTGCTGGCCAGGCCCAGGGAGCCCCGGCCCGAGACCGCGCAGCAGCCGCCGCCGCCGCCGCCGCCATGGGTAAGGAGAGCGGGCCAAGAGGGAATGCTAGGTCCTTGACCCCGGGCTAAGTGCCGCGGTCGGACGGGGTGGACTGGGAGCTGTGGAGGACGCTGAGTTCGCCAGTCGGAACAGGGGCCCCAGCCCGGCATGGGCGGGGACTGCCTGGGACTCGGGGGCTCCCGGGGTCGTCATGGCAACGCGCCCCCTCCCTCGTTCCGGCCTCTTCCCGTCCAGGTTCTGGGGCTTAGTGGCCAAGGGCTGGAAGTCCTACGGCGTCCAGGAGCGAAGACAGGGCCGGGCGGGGTGTCATTCCGGTGTCGGGGAGCAGTCGGGGAGGGGCAATGACTTTTCAAGTTTGGGGGTGGCGGAGGGAAGACGCACCTCAGGTTTTGGCCTGGGTGCCTGGCGCCGAGGGCGGGAGAGCTGGAGTGCCGATGCGTAGGAGCCTGGGTGAGCCCGCCGCGAGGGTCCTGGGGGCGCCCCAGGCTTCTGGGCAGCCTTGCTTGGGGGAGGGGTCAGGAAGAGAAGCAGGGAAGCGACTCTAGGCCTGAGGAAGGGGCAGGCACTGGCCCTTGGACTCCTAGGGCGCCTGCGGCCGGGTTTGGGGATCGCGTCCCGGCTGGACGCGTCCGTAAGCGCAGCCCGGGCGTGGCTGCGGTGTGAACCCTCAGCGGTGTGAACGCCCCTCGGCTTGGGCACTGCCGGTGCCCAGCACTGACCTGCCTCCCAGCAGCTGCAGAACGCCCTTTGTATGGTTGTCGCATCGCAGGTTACGGTTTATGATGGGCTGTGTTAAGCAAAATGAGTTGCCACGCATTAAGAAACATCGAGTGGTTTCACTCCCGGGAAAAAAGTGGGAGTCAGACCACGATGTAGATTTGAAGGAATGTCGTGTGTGGACATTTTTCCACCAGGCAGTTTGGTCATAGCAGTTGTGGCTGTTTGCATTTTAGGTTGCTTAGGATTCAGTGTCAGCCTTCAAGCCTAGCTATCTGGAAATCAGAACTAGAATACGAGATAATTGGGGACTCTGGGTTTTTTTTTTTTTTTAATTATTATTATTCAGCGAAGGAAAAATGAACACTTGGTTACTTGTAAATTTGTCAGAGATTATGAAATGCTATGCTGAGTGCTTTGTTTTTTCCACACGTTAGTTTGTCATCTGTGTTTGTTGAAGGTATTCCCACCAGTCACAACAGTGATCAGATGATGGGGAAATGTCTGAATTTCTAAGTGAAAAGAGAATAAAATTTGTGGGAAGGAGGACAATATTTTTGGGAATTGAAAATATCTTCCTTGGTGATACTGTGTCTTAAAAGTATCAGTTAAAAAGCAGGTCTTTTAGAATATGCATCTGTTACCTTGGTATTCACACTGGCAATGTGGGCATCCTCAGCTGTGTGGAAGGGCGAGGAACGTTAACTTAAAACTGGTCCCTGCTTTTATTCCTCTTTGAAAATAAAACAGTCATGCAATACAGAACTACAGGCAGAATGAAGAAGCCAGACAGAGTGTAGACTGAATTGGGCAGCTTCTGTCTCCTTGTCAGTGTATTTTACCTGTCATGTTTGTTGTGGGTGACACTGGAATCCTAGATTTTTTAATTTATTTTTATTTTGAGACGGAGTCTCAGACTCTGTTGCCAGGCTGGAGTGCAGTGGCACAATCTCAGCTCACTGCAACCTCTGCGTCCCGGGTTCAAGTGATTCTCTTGCCTCAGCCTTCTGAGTAGCTGAGACTACAGGTGCACTCCACCACGCCCAGCTAATTTTTGTATTTTTAGTAGAGACAGGGTTTCACCATGTTGACCAGGATGGTCTTGATCTCTAGACCTTGTGATCTGCCCACCTCAGCCTCTCAAAGGGCTGGGATTATAGGCATGAGCCACCTCGCCTAACTGGAATCCTAAAATTTTAACTACCTTTTATTTGATTGCCAGTTTATTCTGAACATTTTTGCCTTGGAATTCATCCTGAGACAGTACCTGCTATCCACCTTTTGCATAAGGCCCTTAAACATGTTGTCTCTCACCACAAATTTATCTCCACAGAAGATCCTTTTAAAACCCTATTCTCTGTGAAGAGGTACCAGGAAGGTTAAATACAGGAGAATCGCAAATTTACGTGATCTTGAGAATGATTCATAAACTTTGGCTGGATCGGGCATGGGAATTTTCTACAGGATACGTGAGAAACATAAAGAGAAGTTGATCAAGGGTGTAATTTAGCTGGGGAGAATTTGTCAATCAAGAAACAGCAAACTACTGTTGGTTTTTATAGGGGAAGGGAAGAGTTTGTATATTTTTCATTGTCATGTCTTATAAATGATGTTGGATTCCTTTCTTGTGTTTTCAGCTACAAAAGACCCCACAGCTGTAGAGAGAGCAAACTTGTTAAACATGGCTAAACTGAGTATCAAAGGACTCATTGAATCTGCTCTGAGCTTTGGCCGCACTTTGGATTCTGACTATCCCCCCTTGCAGCAATTCTTTGTTGTTATGGAACATTGTCTGAAGCATGGTCTTAAAGGTATCATGAAATTTTAAAAAATTAATTCATTTTAGAGTCTCCCTTTTTGCGTTTTAAGCCCTTCAGAATGGGTTATTTTTTGAGGCCATAATTACTATTACTATGCACCAAAAAGTATTGAGTGGATTGATTTTGGGAGACAATATCTCACGACTTTATGGTTTCTCATAATGGTCTTCAGAAAATGCTTAGTTGTTAAATGTTTTATATACAGAATATTTGATTTAAAAATTTTTTAAACTGGCCGGGCACGGTGGCTCAAGCCTGTAATCCCAGCACTTTGGGAGGCCAAGGCGGGTGGATCACGAGGTCAAGAGATCGAGACCATCCTGGTCAACATGGTGAAACCCCGTCTCTACTAAAAATACAAAAAATTAGCTGGGCATGGTGGCGCGTGCCTATAATCCCAGCTACTTAGGAGGCTGAGGCAGGAGAATTGCCTGAACCCAGGAGGCGGAGGTTGCGGTGAGCCGAGATCGTGCCATTGCACTCCAGCCTGGGTAACATGCGTGAAACTCCGTCTCAAAAAAAAAAAAAAAAAAAAAAAAAAACTTACATAACCTGAACTGGTTTCTGTTTTCTAGGACAATTAGAGTTATTTTATATTTTAAAACTGATGATTCTGATATGAGCTCATATTAATAGTTTGAAAGCTATTGAACAAGTGTATTGAAATAGTAGATTGTTGAAATAGAAACCTCCTAGATATATACATGAACATATGTAGGAATATCTTCTGGATGGAGTTATTGTAGAAATGCGAGCCATCCCTGAAAATGATAATAGCAGATATTGTATTCTACTATCAGTACATATTGAATTATTGTTACATGTAAAATGTTTGTTTTTTATTTTAAAAATATTCATTGCATAATGACTTTTACTTATAATAATCGTTCAGTTTTGGTCTCTAGGTCATATGATGAGTACCTGTGTAGAGGGCTATGTAAGAGTTGTACACTAGAGTGACTATTATAGAGTAAAAGAAGCTTGACTAGCCAGGTGTGGTGGCCACACCTGCAATCCCAGCATCTGCCTGTGGTCCCAGCTCCTCAGGAGGCTAAGGTGGGAGTATCACCTGAGTCCGAGGAGGTCGAAGTTTCAGTGAGCCATGATTACACCACTGTACTACTCCAGCCTGGGTGACAGAAAGAGACCCTATCTCATAAAAAAAAAAAAAAAAAAAAAAAGATTTACCTAAACTTGGTTTTAATAAAAAAAGAAGAAAGTCTTGACATCAAAATTTGAGAAATCCTATGTGATGTTATTAACATACTTCTTTTTCTTTAATTAAAGACTTAAAGCAATTTCTTAAAATACATAAATATTAGAGAAGTATATATATATATTTTTTTTGAGAAGTATATTCTTTTTGTACATGAATTAACAGAGAAGTACACAGAGCAAAACATCATTTTATGGATTCTCTTCTCTTAATCTCTCTAAATGAAATTGGATGCCTGTCATCCCAGCACTTTGGGAGGTTGAGGCAGGTGGATCATTTTGAGGTCAGGGGTTCAAAACCAACCTGGCCAACATGGTGAAACCTGTCTCTACTAAAAATACTAAAATTAGCCAGACGTGCTGGTGTTTGCCTGTAATCCCAGCTACTTGGGAGGCTGAGGTAGGAGAATTGCTTGAACCTGGGAAGCAGAGGTTGCAGTGAGCTGAGATCATGTCATTGCACTCCAGCCTGGG